GATGCATGGGTTGTGCAGTGGGTTGGAGCATCAGCCGGTTTGGGACATAGGCACCTGCCACCCTGGCAATTTATTCCAACCGTTTGCATGCAATAGGATTAGGACAAGCAACGGGGAAGAATTCAAACGGACAACGAAACGATAAATGATTGGAACAGAAAAACAAAACCAAGGCCGTGAACATCTTTAAAATACCCTGGAACCGTCGTTGAGTGGAAATTGTGCCTATCGTCAGAGATTCAGTGATTGTGTACCCACCGAATTTAATCCTCAACAGTAACAAACACCGAATTCAAACTTAAATGTGACATTCTTGGATGTCTACTACACCTATACCAAAATCATAACAAAAGACATTAGTATTGACTTGAGTAGCATCGAGTATCTGTGAATGTATCGAAAACAACTAGAGGATCACCACTGAGGGGAAGCAGAGTGACAGTAACACTGGGGAACCGTGCGGATGCGATCAAGACGAGTTTTGAAGACGTCGAAAAAAAAAAATTATACCGAGGGCAAAGTCAGGCTGCCAGAAAAACAAAATTAAAGGACAATCATAGAGCCGGTGCTGCTATGTGTGTGTGTTAGCACGCATATGGAACTGATCATCGTCGAGGGGAAGTTCGTTGGATTAACAACGACGTCCAGTTTCTTATATACACATACAATATATACATTGAGGAAATTGATTCTTATTTCATCATACGTTGAAGCAGTTATAGTGACATGAAATCCGATTTTTATAAGAACTATAAAAAGAGACAATTTTGAACCCAGACAAATCTCAATGATATTAATTTGATACTTATCAATTCATGAATTTATGTACATTGGATAGAATGACTGCTGAAATCCTTATTAATTGTTAAATGCAATTGCAAACTGACAAAATAATACATATGCAACTGTCCGCCATGGAGGGGAAGTGTTGGAAATGGAAATGATGTCCAGTTGCTCAAATATATTCACACACTCTACAGTCACATCTACACACATACAGACACACCACAGATCCTCTGGCTTAGCCGAATATTATTGTATAGTTAGTCGTGTTAAATATACCGTACTCGGCAGACGTGCCTTACACGTTATACTCCGTATCACTCATTTATCCCCACAATTTCCAGATTAGGATGGTGGTCAGATTCTATTGTGATTCTGCCATTTAAATGGGGTTTTAGAAATTTTTTTGAATAATTTAGTGTTTTGGTTGAGGTGGATAATGTGCAAGGCATCCTTGAGTTATTATTAGGTGTACAAATAAGTTTTAGGACACTTCCATTCCGTGTCATGAAAGTAATTCAAAGTTACCGCATACATATGATATGGTGGGGTTTGTTATGTAGTATCGAAACATAAGGGAGTCATAAACAGAACCTTAAATTCTGTGAATAAAACATGCAGACCGATAAGCTATTTATTAGATACTGCATTCGCTATGAATTCCATCAAGGAAAAACTGTTAGGAAAGCATGTCAATCGATTTGTTCTGTTCTTGGGGACAACATTGTATCTAAAAGTACATGTGAGTATTCGCATAAGCGATTTAAAGAAGGTGATTTCGATGTTAGTGACCGTGAACGTACCGGGGCCCCTGTAAGGGTGAATGACCAGGAATTGCAAGCGTTGCTGGATGACAACTCTTGCCAGACGGAAAAACAACTTGCAAAACAGCTTGGAGTAACTCAACAGACCGTTTCCTATCGCTTAAATGCAATGGGAAAGATTCGAAAAGGAACAAAGTGGGTGCCACACTTTGACTCAAGTTGACTCAAGAAAATAAAGATAGCCAACTTGACATATGTCTGAATCTTTACAATAAGCAACATAGAAAGTCTTTTTTGGAGAAAATTGTGACCGGCCATGGAAAGTGGATTTATTTTGATAATCTAAAATGCAAATATCATTGCGTTAACCCCGGCGAGCCGACGACATCGACACCGAAGCGGTAAGAAGATTCACGGTAAGAAGATCATGCTGTGTATATGGTGGGATATGAAAGGTGTACTGCATTATGAACTTCTGAAGTCTGGCGAGACAGTTACTGACGATCGCTATCGTCAACAATTAATAAGATTGAACCAAGAAATTGAATAAAAATGTCCATTTAGTGGCAAAGGAAAACGTCCAGTAACATTGCTGCATGACAACGTCAGGCCTCGTGTGGGTAAACCGGTCAAAGATACGTTGATGGCTCTTGGATGGGAAGTTGTGCCACACCCGGGGTATTCACTAAACTTAGCTCCAACTGATTCTCACTTGTTTCGGAAGATGCAAAACGAATTGACTGATGTGCGATTCAAAACATTTGAAGAAGTGCAAAAATGGGTCGATAATTTCCTCGCCTCGCAAGATGAAACTTTCTTTGCGAAAGGCATCGGTGATTTACCTAACAGATGGCTGAAGGTCATTCAAAATGATGGAGATTATTTTGATGAATAAATGTAGTTTACTTTTTTTCGAAAATGACTTTTAAATTCTTTGCAAAGTATCCTAAAACTTATTTGTATACCTAATAAATACTTGGTGATTTAGATTCTGTGAATGAAAACCGGTAAATTGTATCTATATGGAGATATGGTAATAAGACTTTTAAAAAAAAAATTTGTAGTTAAATATGAATAGATTGCCCTGATGAGGAGTGGATATACCGCTCGAAACGTTGGCAAATAGTGAAGATTTGTGCTTTTAATTGAATTGGAGAGTAAAATCGCTGAGAACCATAAAATGGCCTGGAGGAGTAGGAGGAATATTTGGAACTCCTCCAATGATTATTAATTTTTCCTAAATTTCTCATTTTTCACAAGGACGAATTTCGATGAATTTTTTAATGTTGATGATATAAACAGACGGAGGTCGGTTATATCCGCAAATTAAATTAAAATTATTCTCGCGCGGCTAACAAATCCTTGCGTTCGAGAATAATTTCCTTATGGATACCTACCTTGAAGTGCTAGGCACATCCCCTGCGTCGTGACGTTACGCTATGTCGCGATTAGCAAATGAGGGTCTTTAGATATATAGAATAAATGAACGGAAAACTATGGGTTCCCCTGTGTTTAATTTATTTGACCCAATGATAGTTGTAGATACAATTGACAAGTATAACAAGTTTTTCAATCCCTTGACTGAATACTGTGATTATTATAAGTTGTTATCCTTCGGACTTTGCTTAAGGAATTGGCCTTAATACCGTAGAGGATTTTAACGTTAAACGACTCGATACGCCGCGTGAGAGCTTCTACTATTTTCGATAATTTTGCTGAGTAGTCGATGATATTATTTTGGAACTACTAATGATAATTTCGAGCTCACCCTTATTTAGATCCTTGCGGTAATTAGTTGTAAGCTTGAATGACGGAACGCGAGCCGTCGGATGAAAGTGCACTGATATCCGTGATCCAGAGATTGTCCTTTTCAAATGTGTATGAAGACGAGAAGATTTAGTAGAAGTCACTTTGTTTAGTTCGATCACTGCTTTTATTCACTATAGTAATTTTGATTGATCTAATTTAAAGTTTGAGTCCAATCAGTGACACAAATGTATGACACGCTCTATCCCGCGACTACGAAGGTGGGCGTATTTGTCGCGTATGAGTTAATTTTACTGCGAAAATCACTTGTGATCACTCCACACAGTTTACCGATCGGTTTGCAATCCCAAGACTAAGGGGTAACGAGCTCGGCTTCGAGGTAGTGAAAAGGAATAACGCAGGAGCCAAAAGTTATGATTTTCCGCTGTTAGTTAACGGTGACTGAATGCAAATCCGGTGTTCCCGTGTCGCGAAGCGCCCGTAGGAGATGCTTAGGTCAGCATCCTAGAGCACACGTGCAAATGGGTGAGCCGATTTAGATGGTGTGAGTATAAGAATGCGCATACGCTCATCCTTATCAGTCACGTCATCCGGTGGACGATGGCTAACTCAACGTTTTGCTCCCTTTCAATGCAACGTTGAAGTTTAATAAAATAATAAAATTTTCGTATATAACATTGATAATTATTGAGGGAATTCACTGATGGTCATATCTGACATGATCATCTTCTAGAGCAATATAATTGTCATAATTGAAACCTAATACGTTATTTTAAAGAATTAATACTTCTCTTAAATAAATGGATACTTGGCAAAAATAATTTTTTTCTGAGTGTGGAAATGATAGTCGATAGAGGCTTGAGTTTCACGTCATTCGAAGCCATTTTGATGTTGCCATGTCGGCCTGCGTCTTCATATGAATTCCCTGTTGAGGAAAAAATTGTCTTCACAAATTGTTTCAATGTTTTATGTACGGCGACAACATTGAAAAAGTCAAAGACCAACACTTTCACAATTCCAAAACGATTAGAAAATGCAATCCGCCGTAAATTCATCAATTATCAAATAAGTCAGGATTCTTAACCCTTTGCTTTGTCTCATGGCACTCCACTTTTCGCCGTTTTGTAGTGGTGTAATTGCAGATTGACAAAAAATTTTGATTTTGCCATAACGGCTCTAATAATTGAATAAATTGAGTTCAATTGCGCTCATTTTGAAGCTTTTCCAATTAACTTGCAATGTGTGAAAACGAAAATTCGATTCCTAATGATTAAATTCAGTTATTTCACCTTTTTCGCAAATAATCAAAATTCAAATGGAAAAAGTGAAATTTCTTAAAAAACCATAACTAGCAGAAAAAAATCGAATCGCTCTAAAAAATTTATGGGAGCTTTGTCTCATGTATTCATTCTCAAAAAATATCGGCAGGACGACCGGAAACATGACATTTTTTCGTGTCGGATTTGACGTGGAATTGCTCTATTATTATTCATAAATCAACAATTAGTAGGAATGTACATTACCAGAAATTATAATTTTAGTTCAAATCAATAGTGGTGGGTATTGTATCAATTTACCAATATTCTATCAATTGCAAATTCAAGCGGAAAAATTAATTGAAATATTACGTTTTCAATTGCTTGCTTATGTTTGGCTGTGGAACTCGGGAAATCAATATAATAACGATGCGAAATGTACGAATTCCATTTATTACCAATATAAATATGTGTCACATTTTTCTAAGATTTACAATCCGTTTCGTTAATCCTTAAGTGATCGTGCGACATTAACCAATCTATGCTTGCGAAGAATGGTGCAATTACTCTTCGATCAAATTTGTGACAAGAATAGAGACTGGGTACAGCCAAGCACGTGGACACTGGCATTCGATACGTGAAGCTGTTCAACTTTTTGAGTCACCTTTTGCCTTCATTGACCAATCGATCATGAAGCACGAGTGGTATGTATCAGGCGATTCCTTTCGCCATGGGACAGTTTCAGAAGGATTGTTTTTTTTTATAAAGACATTCAAGATGCAACAGAATGTCTGCCTCAAAATTCCTCGCGAATTCGGAAATATTTTCCAAAATAAAAAAATGTGCTTCATCCCAAATACATAAAAATTCTGAGAAATTTTGCAATTTTCATCAAGACTTTTTTTGTAACCCTCAATCTCTCTAGTACAAAGATACTTATCGAAGAACGTCTATTTCTCCGTGGATTTCGAAATTTGCTTCAACAAAATCTTCCGACGTGAAAATAAAGCCATCTTAGTTTTTTCTCAAAAGAAAATGTGAAAATGAAATATTTCTGTTTAACGGAGAGACCCATCGAGCGACTTTGGATACATGATTAGATACATCAAAAAGTGGAAAATATGTATCAAACTCAATGCATATCAACCTGTATTTTTATATAAAACGTCTACATATAAATAGTATTACTACGACGAAGTCTGTTTTCTGATCAGTTATTTTATTTTCCTGAAAACTGTATTAAAAAATAATGATTTTTGAGAATTGACTGAATGAAATAAAAACTTTCTGACGGGCAGATGGGAAAACGTGTCGATATAATTTTTTTCCTTCCTTCCGTATCTGAGATGAAATGTTCTCAACAAACTTGTAAATGAATGATTGAAAAGTTAAAGAAGAAAATAGTTACAGCTTAATTATTTTTCCAACCGCCTGCATTAATATTAGCATTTCTTCTTCTCCAGCCCGAACCTAATGAAAACTTCCTCCTACCCTAGCCTACTAAAATTTCTCCGCCTGCGGAGCATGTGTGAAATGATGGTTTGAATCTCGGCGGAGATAACAAAAAAAAAAGGACCAAATGGCATCAAATCTGTGATCCAAAAAACCTTTTTGAAATGAACACAAAATGGTTCAAGTTGAAATACGGGGCGAAGTCGATTGGATTTAATCTTGATCCTACGTTTCGATACAACCATAATGTATGAAAAATCGTTCAATCGAGTTGTTCACCAACCAGTTTCCACCAATGTCCTCCCCCCCATGAAAAAAAATCCTTAACCAACTGCTTCTAAAATGAAAAGAAGTTTCTATTGAACAACGACGCAATACTCCTCCTTAGATCAAAATTAATAACACCTAGCCAGGCATAATACATGAACAACTTCCATAGACTCCACTGTTTCCGCATTAAAACTCGTAGTCTATGTCCGACATCTCTCATTTTCTCATCATAAATAGCATGAACGCAACACCTGGACATCTCCATATACGCCGACATCCTCTGCGAAGTCCCAAGTGTGTGCTCAATGCTCCGAATCAAGTCATTAGTCTTGAGAATCAGCAACATCTGCCTATTGACCCTCTCTAAAACTTCACTGATCTGTGGTAATAGATTGGGTACCTCATTCTGGAACATCTCCTTTTCATTCTTACTGTACTTCGTCTTCTCCACCCCAGCCATGATGGTATCCCAGGTCCTCCCAGAAACCATACAGGCCAGCAGCCCATAGAGATCGCCGACTCCTAAATCGGCACAATACCTCTTCATCCCCTCCTTATCCTTATTAAGGATTGCCATCCATAATTTGGAATACGCCCACCTGAACTCATTGGACAGCTCAGCATAAAGACCATGATCCAGGAGGACTATCTCTGCTTCATTCATCTGATTCTTCTTCACGAGAATGTTTCCGGGATGAGGATCAGAGTGTACGAAACCAGTGATGAAGATCATGTGGCTGTAGAGTCTTCCTAATTTCTCACTAATCTCATATGGATTAATATTGTTCTGATACACGTAATCTAGGTCATTCACTTGTCCTCCTTCGATGAACTCCATAGTTAGGACTCTAGGGGTAGACAGTGTCCAGTGGATTATAGGTATTTTCAGCCATTTATAGTGACGGAACATCGCTTGGACCTGTTCAAACCATGAGTATAACATAGACGTATGAGTAGGAATATAATATTTGTATATAAAAGAGTATAATTATGGGATTCACACAGAAAAGTAGATTAGTTTTTCACTATATTCACCGTCCTCATAACCATTAGCTAGGATGATGTGATGGAATAATTTACGAAAAAGAAAAACTTATCGCTTACTACTAAACTATTAGGGTACCTTTTCATTCCTGTTCATTGTGCAAGTTTCGCCATATGTCCACAGTGGCATCACGTTAAGCTATCGTTAGCTTCACGTTTCCATTAACGTTAGCCTAATGTCTCCACTTGACGTTGGCGGGCAAGTGTGAAATACTAGGCGCGTGTCGATAATTGATTACTAAAAATAATAAAAAACATTGAATTGGTAATTCATTTGATCATATTCGATATTTTCATGATTGTGCATTGTTGAACGACCGGTCACGAGGGGTGAGAAACAAATTGTTGTGAAAATTTAGAAGTCGATATCGATTGCACGAGAAAATGGATAAATGAGGAAAAAAATGTTGAATTTTTTTAATATTATAAATGAAGTTTGTTTTTGTGTATCCGAATTTTTTCATAAAAATTAGCTGTGGACGGGTTTTGCAGACGGTGTGGGGTTGAAAAATATTCAATTTTTAGCCTCTGATTCACTCTGATGTGGATACGTCTATTTAGTCCAGTGAAGGAAAGTCCGAATTACATGTTTTTAGCTGCCGGACTGCATTTTGGCATGACAATCAATTACCGAGCACTGATCAAAATTTTAGGTTATCTAGGGTACTCACCCTCCGGGGTGAGGTGGAAAAATCTGAAAATTCCCCTTAAAAAGAGTTTTTCCGAAATAACTCGAAAAGTACTCGAGATACGATATAAAATATAATAAACAAAATTGTAGTGCGCAAAAGTCTACAAAAAAGTTCTTGACCACTTCACCCCTATTTCGTACCATTTGTCCCCCAGAGCCGTTTGAAAATATGAAGTGAAAAAAAATCTTTAACTAAATGAAAAACAATGTTTTTTTTTAAATTTTTTCGTCCTGCTGAGAATTTTCACGGAATTACGACTCAAAGTTGATCTTAACTTTTTTTCTAATGGATGAATTTTTTACTTCCTTTTTTTTATAATTTTTTGTGGCGGTTAGAGCCACCCCCTCCACTACCACCCGATGAGAATTTATCATTAAAAACCAAATGGTACTAATTACACATGAACTGACGTTACTTTCATTATGAAAATCACTTATGACCTATGCATTAATGTCACTATTTTTTTCAATACATATTGATGCAGATACGAATATCGTATTCATTTATTCATGAATGAGATTATTTCGTATCAGACTTTTTTTCGAAGTTCACACCAAATAGGACTGACTAAAGTAGAGGCACAGTTCTTCAGGGGCAGGCGACCCCAAGCTTAAATAATTATCACTCCATGGGAGGGATGGCGCTACGGTCGATTTTGGCCTCTGAGCGAGCTGGCTGTGCCGGTAACTCGTCGGTACACAGGAACAAGTTCAAGGAGGAATCTTTGTTCTCCTTGTGCTTCATGTTTTTTCATGTTTTTCAGCGATTGTAAATTATAAATAAGATCGAAATAAATAATTCAAAATTGAACAATCGTAAAAAACATTTATTAAGAATGTTTTTCCGCATGTAGATACAAGGGTTGAGATGGGAGATATAAAATATACCGCGTGTGTTTTTTATGTAATATTTTTCATTAATCAACTATGAAGGAACAAGAAATTATTAGCGTTAGAAATAGAGACATCAAACAAAATTTTGTAACGTGACTTTTTTGCATGGGGGGTAAAAATGCCTATTACCTTCGCCCTTCTTCCCCTGAAGCTAGTTAACTCAAAATAAAACTAATGACGGGTGCCAGATAATTTTTAGCCGGAATTATCAAACCGGAAGTGCACGAATTTTGAGTCCAAACACTCAGAAAATTCTTAACCGACAAACCAAAAACGAAGAGAACTAGATTTTGGGGGAAAGGTAACGGTCCTCGGATCGCTCAGTGTGCTAGGTTGTGGAGAGAGGGGTAGATTTCAGGTGGAAACGGGTTATTGAGTGGTTAAAACTACAAAAAAAGAAAGAGATCGACATTGTCCTTACTTGTTTCACTATTGAAATTTTCCCAAAATAAATTATTTACATGCTTTTACATAATTTCCAAAAAAAAATGAAATTTTTCTGTAACAATCATCGCCCTTCTAACCGAACCAAAGAAAAACTAATAAATCCGATCTGAAATAATATTAAAAAAATTATATAATTACGATCGCTTCGCTTATAAGGCTAAAGTGATCCAATCCCTCAGGTGTTATTGAAAACACGAGGACAATAACGAAAATACGAAAATATTAACTAATTCCGAAATGCTCGAGAATTCCGAGAACTGGGGGAAAGGTACGCAAATACCCGTGAGAATGAGAGAGAGGAGATAAAACCAGCGATATACGTACTGCGGAAAACGTACTGCGGAAAATGAAAATTCGATAAAACTAGACTCGCCGTGGCGGAAAACCAGTAAACTCCGAAAAACCCAGAGTCAAATTGCTCGGGAAAGTTTGGAAAAGCCCATGATACCAAAATGATCAATTTTGGATCGTTGGGAGCCACTCCAGGTTGATTAATACCCGGAGGGAATTTTTAAACGAGGGACCGCTCGCGTGAAGCCAGAACCGCAGTTTGTAGGCACGGATCGATGTTAGCGGGGTGCCGTGAGGGGGAAGCATTCATGGGGAATGCTCGAGCCACTCTACGCGAATTTTCCGTAGAGGGAGAGGGAAGACTCTCTGCTACGGAAGCAAGACAGAAACGAAGGTCTAAATCGAAAAATCTCACGATTTCGACCGAGAAAAATGAAATAAACCCCAATTTTTCCTTAGAGCTTCAAATAATTAATAAAAAGAGGCCCTACGATGCCGCTGGGGAGAACCGGACGACAATTACGACGCCAACCTTTCTAGAAGGGAAATAAGTCGATGAAAATCGACCAAAAACCCACATGTAAGAATCCGGGGACAATCGACATCTCAAAAGGAAAATGTATAACAAAAACCGCCAATAACTGACTCAACAGCCGTTTAATCGGATTGAAGGCCACTGCACGTGGCTGAAGGCCAACGTGAGGAAAACCACCATGAGTGGAAAATCGACGCCATGCGCAATGGCTCGGATAAACCACCGAAAACCAAGAAAAACTCACCTTTGGGAGCTTCTTGGTTACGCGACCCTTCTTCTTCACCACTGTGAACTCCTCGTAACCCCAAAAATACTTCAAAATGCACACAAAGTAATCCCAAAGGGCACTGTTAATCCTAAGGAACACACAGTATGTCATACGCGGCAAACAATTTAGAATTAGTTCCGCTGGTCGAAGCGGAACTAAATTCGTGGGCCAGTGCCGTGACACGCTGCCCTTATAATTCCTCACCAATCGAGGGAAACTTTGATTGGCTGAGATGTTTTGCCAGCCGAGGTGTGATCCTCGGGGGGAGCACCCAGAGTGGGGGAATATTTGAATGCCCTAACCCACTAAGTCTCATACTTAATCGAATTTTAACATCATACGCTAAACTAAATACAATAAATACCATATAATAAACTCTAAACTAAATGCAATAAACATTACTCAATTTTTTTTAACTCTTCCCTGAACAGCTGATCGCTCAGTCGATTATCCAAGGCTCTTGGTGCCTCCCAAAATCCAAAAACATTTACCGGAGTGGGAAAACTTTAAAAATCTACAAATTTCCACCGGAGTGGGAAATATCAAAAAGCTCTCTCTCTCACTCGAATTTTTACCCACGATTTACCGGATTATGCCGCGGGAGTTGGTTGTTCATAAGGTCGTAATTGTGTTCCTAACGAACATCCTCACATATTCGTTACAATTGACTCTAATATATATATTTTAAGGGGACCCCCCCCATTCTCGGTTTCAAAAAATCGATTTTTTTTTAAATTTAATTCGAACCTATAACTATTCAAGAATGTTCCTTTAAAATTTCAAGTGAAAATTTCAAAAACTCTTGAAGATATAGCCGATTTATGGTGGAAGCGTCAGGCGACGGCGAGAGCCCGCACGCATGGGCCACCTCGCAGGTACCTAGCTCTCATTGGTGCCCCTGTCCCTTCATGGGTTCCCCTTCGGCATATTTTGTGACTACCTGCCTGAAACATCTGCTTCTAGTCCCCCCCTACTTACCGAAATAAAGAGTAGGAAAGAGAATACACAGCTACGTGAGATATAAGATTTAGACAAGCAGGACAGGGATATAGAATACGTTGGCATGCTCAGTCTCACTGCGTCTCTTGCAACAGTAGCATATTCAAAAATACGCTGTAGAAAATGGAAAGGAAACATGGTAAACAGGGTACCACTAGGCCCAGTGTAAGTCGTAAACGGAGGTTCTCTGGAAATAGGCATACGAGTGAGCTTGACCAAAGTTATGCGAGCACATCCGCTGAAAAACTTTCTAAAGCATCTAATTTTCAACCAAGTGTCGATCCTAATTTTAGTTATTGTATTGTGCAGTTCTGACTATTCATGCAATTACAGCAAATGGTAAACTGCAAAGAGTGTAACGGTGATATTCAATTCAACAAGAAAGATGAAAGAGGCTTGGGTTTCAAGTTGGATATAGTTTGTAATTGTGCTCATGAAAAGGTCATTGAATCGTGTCCCAAAATTGGAAAAGCATACGAAGTAAACAGGCGGTTTGTATATGTGATGAGATTACTGGGAGTCGGATTAGCAGGAGCGAACACTTTCTGTGGGCTTATGGATCTAGGCAAAGGCATCAGTGAACGAACGTATTATGAGATTATTAATCACATCAGTTTCGCAGTTGGTGCTGTATTTAGAAAAGTAATTACGAAAGCTACCAATGAGGAAAAAGAAAAGAACAAAGCAGCTGGTCGTCCAGAAAGGGAGCTCGCGGTTTCAGGTGATGGTTCATGGGCCAAAAGAGGTTTT